GAAGCTGCCGAAGCTGCCGCCGCGGCGTTCGCTTTGGGTGAAAGGATTGCGGAGGCGGCGAGTGGGTAACGACGCAAGGCGTCTGCGAGGTCCAGGGTCCTGTTATATCTCTCTCTTCTGTCAGGGACGTCTCCTAGGTCTGAGCCGGCCAACCCTCCTCTCCGCCGCTTACCTCCTTCAACACTGCGATTTGGTCATCTAAGAAATCCTCGTCGTTCTCGGACTATCTCCGTTTCCGTCCTCAACTTCAGCTTCTCACGGACGCGTCACAGCGTCTTTTCTGTCTATTGTTCCCGTACTCAGTTCCCATACACTGATCAGGTTTGGGATAACCCAAGGGATTGCTTTTTTCTTCTGTGTAACACCAGCCTCCAGCAGCATTACAAAAGTAGTAATATAAGATGAATGCCTTTTCTTAACACTATAGGTGACTCACTTTGGCCATGGTTTAAACTATGTTATAAAGAGACTAATGTGAAAACTGTGTGGCACCAGAAATTTAAAAAAAAAAAACCAAAAAAACCCTGCCTTTTCAGACATCAAAATTACTAAAAGACCTTTAATCGAAGCAGTGTGTTTTGAACTAGAAGACAATAGATACAGCAGTAGAGAATACTAGGTGCCAAATTGATCTGAATATATGGGGACCTATATGAAAGGGAAGCATTTCAACTTAGTGTAAAATAGGTGTTGCTAGTAGAAACTGTCTATTCTGGGAAAAAACTAAGACTCCTTATGCTACATATAAAAAGTGGAATTTAATAACCAATAAAAACACTTATGAGAACATTAAGTTTAATATTGAAGCAAAACAGGAAACATTCCTTAAAGTATAAACTTGTGTGACTATATTTTAAAAAATTTTAAAAACTATTAATAATACTTATTCGAATATTTTCCTTTCAATCATTGTAATCAAAGAGAAGTGTTTAATTCATTTTGTAAAAGTAAAGCAGCTGATGGTGTGGATCCTATTGTAAAATTTGTTTAAAAGTTCAACACTAAAGATAATATAATTTGATTTATTTTGTGGTAAAAGTATGTATGCAAGTTTAGAATAAATTATATGATTAAAAGCAATAGAAAAAACTATTAATAAAGTCAAACAAGAAATAAACTGGAAAAAAATTGTCAAAAGCCGGATAAAGAATTAGATATTCCCAAATACAAAGAACACCTGCCAACTGACAGAAGACAAAGGCAAAGGCTATGAAGTCATTCCACAAAGTGGAGAAACTAACTGGTCATTAACATTTGAAAAGCTGCTTAGCCACTTTTAAAATAGTTTGGCAGTCACTCAAAATGTTAACATAGAATTACCATGTGATCCAGCAATTCCATACCTAGGATAAACCCAAGAGAAATGAAAACTATGTTCACATGAAAGCTTGTATATGAATAGCAACATTATTTATAATGGATGAAACGTAGAAACAACCCAGATGTCTATCAACTGATGATTGATGATTGGATAAACAAAATGTAGTATATCCATATAATGGATTATTACTCAGCAATAAAAAAGGAATGAAGTACTGACACATGGTACAACATGGATTTACCAAATGGAAAGTGACTGCTAATGGGTGCAGGGTTTTGTTTTTGGGGTGATGAAAATATTCTGGAATTAGTGATGTTTGTACACATTGTGAATTATATTAAAAGCCACTTAATTATACACTGTTTATTTTTAATTTTTAAATTATAGTTGCCATTCAATAATAGTTTCAAGTTTACAGTATAGTGGTTAGATATTTTTATAACTTAGGAAGTAATTCCCCTAATAAGTCTAGCACCCACATGGCACCATACATATTTATTATATTATTGACTATATTCCCTATGCTATACTTTATATTTCCCTGACTATTTTGTAACTGCCAAGTTATACTTCTTAATCCCTTTACCTTTTTCGCCCAGCCTCCCAACCCCCCTCCCATTCTGGCACCTATCAGTCTCTATACTTATAAGTTTGTTTCTGTTTTGATTGTTCATTTATTTTGTGTTTTTTTTTTTTTTGGATTCCACACGTAAGTGGAATTGTATAGTATTTGTCTTTATCTGTATGACATTTTAACATAATACCCTCCAAAAGTCCATATATTGGGGTAACCCTAGGGATTGCCTTATTCCTCTTGTTTTAAAGTCTATTTGGTCTAATATAAATATTGCTACCCCAGTTTTTTGTCATGTCCATTTGCATGAAATAGCTTTTTCCTTCTCATTGATAGCCTTGCTGGGTAGAGTAATTTTGGTTGCCTTTACTTTGACTATTGAATGCCAGTCCTTCTGGCCTGCAAAGTTTCCATTGGGAAATCAGCTGACACTTTCATGGGAGTTCCCTTGTAGGTAACTAACTACTTTTCTCTTACTGCTTTTTAAGATTCTCTCTTTGTCTTTAATTTTTGGCATTTTAATTATAATGTGTCTTGGCGTGGGCCTCTGGGTTCATCTTATTTGGGACTCTCTGCACTTCCTGGACTTGTATGTCTATTTCCTTTTCCTGGTTAGGGAAGTTTTCAGTCATTATTTCTTCAAACAGATTTTCAATCCCTTGCTCTTTTTCTTCTTCCCCTTATGATGTGACTGTTTTTACACTTGTTGTCCTAGAAATTCATTAAACTATTTTCATTTTTTAAAATTCTTTTTTCTTTTTCCTGTTTCGATCGGGTTTTCTGCTACCTTGTTTTCCAAACCGCTGCTTTCATTCTCTGCTTCATCAAATCTGTTATTGATTCCTTCTAATGTAGTCTTCATTTCAGTTATTGTATTCATTTCTGACTGGTTCTTTTTTATGGTTTCTATCTCTTTGCGTAAGTTTTCACTGAGTTTAAGTATTCTTCCTTCAAGTTCATTGAGTATCCTTGTAATCAGTGTTTTGAACTCTGTATCTGGTAGTTTGCTTGCCTCCATTTTTTTTTTCTGGAGTTTTGCTTTTTTTCTATCATATGGGACATATTTCTTTGTTCCTTCACTTTGGCTGCCTGAAAAATGGTACCCTTTGTGTGTTTCTAGGTAATAGGTAGATTTGCTACATTTTTCAGTCTTGGTAGGGTTGCCCTGTGTAGTGGATGTCCTGTGGGGCCTAATGGTGCAGACTCCCTGTTCACCTGGGCCAGGTGCCCCAGGGGTGTATTTTGTGTGGGTTGTGTGTACCCTTCTCTAGTAGTTGAGCCTTAATTGCCATTGGCATGTAAGTGGGTGAGATTGACCTGGCCATGAGAACTGGCTATGACTACAGTGGAAGAGCTGTAGTGTAGGGGTGACCCTACATAGTGGGATTTGCTGTAGCGGGGCTCTGGTGCTTGCTGAGTCCACCCTTAGGTGTGTTGTTTGTGGAGCTAATGGGGTGGTTCTCTGGTATGGCCTGAAGCTGGCTACTGGGTGTGTTGGTTCTGGAGCCTCTTGGGAGGTGCTTTGGTGCAGGCCCAGGTCAGCTGCTGCCTATGTCCAGCCCAGGGCCACCTGGTAGGAGCTACAAAGTGATCTGTGGTTAGTAACTGCCTGTGCTGGACTTGGAGGTGCCTGGGAGAAGCTGCAAACCGAGGCCCACTGCCACTAGTGTGTGGGGTGGGGGCTGCTTAGCAAGAGGTACAGGGCATGCCAAGTCTAGCCACTGCTTGTTTGGGGTTTATGGACCTTTGAAAGATTTTAGGAAAGTCTGAAGTACAGGACAACTATTGAAAGAAGTTTAGACTGGTATGCGGGTTGGGTAGGTTCTTAGGGAATCATCAGGGTGGAGCAAACTTGATGGAGACTCAAATTTGGTACTCGCCTGCACCAGTAGGCTATGTGTGGTGAGGGCTCAGCAAGGGAACAATAGCCCTTGCCTGCTGGCTGTGTGGGGAGGGGGCTCAACAAAGGAAAAATGGTACTTGCCAGCAGTTTAGTCCTGGAGAAAGCTGTTCCTCTAGCCCTTGCCCTGAAGCCAGACAATTCAGTTCCTCTCTGTATGTTCCTGATGCTTTTTGAGCTGCCGCCCCGGTGCTGGAGCTCTGAGTGAGTGAATCTGTCAGTGAGTATGTCCCTGCACAGGCCCTTCAAGAGGAACACCTGGGACTTCAGGAGCCCTCTGTCTCACCCGGACTGAATCCCCACTGAGTTTTATAGCCAGATGTTGTGGAGAATCTGCTTCATGGTGCTGGTAGTCTGGGCTGGAGAGCTTGCTGTGGGTCTGGGACCTCTTGCTCCTCAGTGGGACCTCCAAGCCCAGATATCGCTCCTGATTCTTAACTGCCACACATGATTGTGGGACCAGCTGCTTTGTGTCCTCGCCTCTTCAACCAGTCTTGGCATGGCTTCTTTAAATCCTTAGAATAGAAGTCTGTTCAGCTAGTCTTTAGTTAGTTCTCAAGGGTGATTGTTTTATAATTTATAGTTTAGTTGTTATTTTGATGTGGTCATGGGAGGGGGCGAGCACAGCATTTACCTACTCTGCCATCTTGACTGGAAGTCCTATACACTTTAAAAGGGTGAATTTCATGTGTGTGAATTGTATCACAATAAAATAACCACCAGACAGGGAAAATTTTATTTTAAAGATACAAATGTTTAGTATCTAAAATATTTATGAAGAAAGTACTATAAACAACGAAGTTCAACACCTAGATTCTACATAGTAAATTACAGGAGCTGTAACATTATTATAAAATGAAGCAAAAAGTAGAAAGTTACATGGAAAAATTCACGGCCTCACTAAATGGTAATAAAATAAAACACAAGTAAAACCTCATTATATCTCTATTAAATTAGCAAAAAAAATTTTAATGTCAAACACTTCTTCGGGCATAAAACATTTTTAAATCATTCTGGAGGATTGTATGGCTAACTACAGCAAGTGTTATCAAATAGTTCACATTCTGAAACCATTTTAGGAATAACAGGAGAAAAAATACATGTATGGGGAGGTGGTAGAAAATATACATGAAGCTGTTCGTGAAAAGGTTATAGCAAAGGAGAATTGGGAGTAACAAATGACCGACCATAAGGAACAGCTAAGCAAATAGGGCATGTGTACTGTGTCAGTATATGGATTATGCATATAGAACAAAGCTCCATGAAGACAGCAAAGCTTTTGTTTCATGTTCTGGTCACAACCATGGAGAATCTGAGTCCAATCTAGGCTCTAGTGTGAAAATGTAGAAAGAAGAGTTGGGGTAAGAGGAGTTTGGATTTTAATGTTCATTTGATTCTTTTTTTCTTACATCCCTTCTCTTTACATTAGATCTCTTTAAATGGAGGATGATAGAGGGAACATTTGTGAACTAGAGCACCTAATTTTCTACAGTACCACACATTTTGAGATACAGATCAGGATAGAATTTGACACTTAGAATATGTGTCAAATGTTTTTCCACCACAGCAGCCCTATCTCTTTCAAGGTGTTCAGTAGGGAAATGGGATCTCACAGCAATCAATCAAGTGACAACAAATGGATTTATGACCAAACTTTCTAATCAATTTATTTATGAAGCTCAGCCAATACTCTTAAGAACCATAGTTTATTAATCTAGATACAAAAATAGTTTATAACAATCCAGTCTGCTTGTTTCTCTTTCTAAACTTCCAAAGTTCTCAAGACAGGGGAGGCTAGAATCAGGGGACACATCCTTGCTGTGAGGTCTTGAAGGAAAATGAGGGTGGGACCTTGGCCTCAGGAGCATCTTAGGGTATAATTCATATACAAGGATTTATTTAGCAATAGTCATGTACTTTCTACTCTGAAAAACATGGCATGTCATCAGTACATATAGTCTCTTCACTCTTGGTTTACCATTATTTTTGTACCTAATTTTGTACTTCTGCAGTAGCAGAATTCCCTAGCTCCTGGGGACACAGGGACTGTTCTCTTATTCATTATATTCCCCACAACACCCAGAACCCAGTATGTGTTCAGTAATGACTGTAGAATGTATGAATTCAAAATACAAGGCTGGGAGTTGGAAGAGAGATGCAAAGTGTTGGTCATTCAGTGAGGCGCCTGGCAACCCACTGGACAGATGGTAAGAGGTTCTGTGTTCTTCCCTCCATTATGTGTCCCAGGGCTGAAAATAGGTTGAAGGGGCCCAGAGAAAGAGAAGCTGGTGAATGTGTAGATGTGGGATTTGGCTGTTACATTGTAAAAGGAAATTTCTCCAGCCTTGTAGTCCAGAAAGATGCCCACACACCTGGGGGGCTCCCTCATCCGCAGGCGGGTTGGGGGAATGGTGGATGCCTGGTACTCATTTCGCTTCATCATCATCACCACCCAGTAGCCATTCTCTGGCGACAAAGTGATGCTCCCCTTTCGGTTTATGGATGTTTTACAGATGCCCAGGATCCACTCTGTCTTGTCTCCCACCTCCACTTCCCAGTAATGGCAGCCAGAGAAGAAGCTCGGAGAGCCCAGGGTGATGATACAGCTATCAAATCTTTCTGGGCTGTCAGGCAGACAGTTCCACTTGTTTCCAAGTCTCACACTCTTCAGGTCATCAGAGAAGATGAGATTGGGGTGGGCGGTTTCTACATCCAGAAGCACATTAACTTGCAGAGAGAATTAGAATACATGGGTACCAACCCCACAGGTTCTCCCCTGTCCAGGAAACATGGACAGGGTTGTTCTTCTAGAACACAGGGGACAGCACAGGGACCTATCAGGCCAAGGCCACTTGCATTGATCTTGGCACTTACCAGCATGCGCCTGAGCACCAATCAGTTTGGGAACTGCAGAGAAAAAGGAGATGGGAAAAAAATCCTGAGCATTCCTGTTTGGTAGGCTAAATCTACCCTGGTACCCACAGCAAGGAAAGACAAGGGACCCCCATGCTCAGGACCTTGATTCTTCTGCTTGTATATAACCCCATTTATCCCAGGGACCTGGGCCTGCGTTGGGGACTCTGTGGTCTGATGTGTTGAACTAGCCAGGTGAGTCTGGCACAGAGCTTGTGAGAGCCTGTCATGACCTTTCTCTTACCTTTGTTACAGGTGTTTTTCTCTGTTCTAAACAATGCCCAGAAATCAGTAGTACAAGGGAATATCACAATAACGCCTACTCAGCACATGTAACTACCATCATACTTACCACTGAAGGTTTCCATTTCTGAATGCAGGTTTTCTAAAAGGAGAAAGAGAACTAGAGTTAAATCCCCAGCTAGGAAGTTATCAGGAAGAGGCTAAAGACAGAGTCAGAAGGCCATGAGAAGTGGAGAAGGAATGCCAGCGGGCTCTGGGCTACATGGATCGCAGGGTGGAAGTGAGCGGGTGCCTCCCATCTTCCCCTAAGCCCACCTACCTGAGAAATGCTTCATGCTCTTCTCCACAAACTCTAATTTCTGGTAGAGCAGGTGTATCTTTTCTTTCACCTCTGGAAGGGTGGTCCATGGCTTAGGGGTAGTCACCATCTTGGCCCTAGAGACAAAAGACTGTTGTCCAGAGAAGGCTGGAACATGGAAGTGGACCAAGCCTCCATGAGCTGGAGGGGAGGTACAGCCTACATAGGGCATACTCAGCCCAGCCTTGGCTTTGCAAAGAAAGTCCTCCCTGGACTTCAAGCTCTAAACACTGGTCCTCAACTTTGGCTATGAGTTTGCATCACCTGGGGAGTTTTGAAAAAACACTGATATTAAAGCAACAATGAGTTTTAATAATGGCCGTAAAATGGTGCTGATATTGAAATGCTCAGCCCAGAATTATCTATGTCAAATTAATTATACTTCCCTATTTTCTTTCTATTGAAATAAAAATGATAATAGATGAAAAAAAAAAACCAATGAGATACTACTTCACACCCATTAGGGTGGCTATTTTTAAGAAAAAAGAAAAACGGTGTTAGCAAAGATGTGTAGAGATTGAAACCCTTGTGTATTGCTGGAGGAAATGTAAAATGACACAGATATTGTGGAAAATAGTTTGATGGTTTCTCAAAAAAAATGAAACATATAATTACCATATGATAGAGCAATTCCATTTCTGGATATATACTCCCCAAAATTAAAAGCAGAGACTAAAACAGACGTATCTACACCAATATTCATAGCAGCAGTCATCATTCAAAATAGCCAAAAGGTGGAAGGAATTCAAGTGTCTACTGATGGGTGGAATGGATAAACAAAATTTGAAATATACATACAATGGAATATTATTCAGCCTTAAAAAGGAATGAAATTTGGACACATGCTACAACGTGGATGAACCTAGAAGACATTATGCTAAGTGAAACAAGCCAGACTAAAGCACAAATATTTTGATTCCACTTATTAGAGTATAAGTAGTTAAGAGTAGTCACATTCACAAAGACAGAAAGTAGAGTGGTAGTTGCCAGGGTCTGGGAAAGGGGGAAATGAAGAATTGTTTAGAGGTATGGAATTTGCATTTGGGAAGATGAAAAAATTCTGGAGATGGATGGTGGTGATTATTGTACAATAATGTGAATGTACTTAATGCCACTGAATGTACACTTAACAATGCTTAAAATGATAAATTTAATGCTATGTATATGTCACCCCCCCCCCCAAAAGCCTTTAAAAATTGTTTCCTGGGTTGCTCTCCTGAAGATTCAGATTTAATTTATTTGCCAGGTCCTAGATGTCAGGATTTTGTAATGCTCCTGGGGTGATTATATTCAGCCTCCTATTCTGCTGCCTGTTAGGCTTAGCAGCTCTATTCTTGGAAAGTGCTTCTCTTCCTGAGGCCACAAGCACTTCTGCAGAAACAGTTTTTATGAGGTGAATTGCATAAGACGCAGTCTATTAGGGGGGTTTCTTACGAAGCCACCATGAGCACGGCAAGCTGTGTTCATTCTTTCCAATTTTCAACCCCATGCTCTCCTGATTGCACTGCGGTTTTCCTTACACAAATCCAGAAAGGCCTTAGATAGCTGTAGGAGATGGGAGGAGCCCAGGGAGGAGTCCCACACCCAGGATTTGGGAGCATCTTCCTTCTAGAATTGCCTCCCCAAATGCCTCCTACAGGACACCCGAGGTAATAGCAGGGGACCTCTCAGTACCTGTACAGGGTGACTCCGATGTCCTAGGAGAGAAAAGAGAAAAGCTCTCCATTACCAGTCTCCTATGGGCTGCACTGACCACTGGCCTCTCTTCTTGGGCTCTCAGCCTCAGGGTGTTAACACAACTGGGACGCCTCTACCCAATTCTAATTCTAATTATTTGAGGTGGCAGCCCAGCTGGGCCCTGCAACAGAACTGCATCCAAGCTCTGCTGCTCTCTTCTGGGAGATTCCAGGAGATTCCCTGGATTCTGGGCTACCTGGGGCTCCCGAGAGCTCATCAAAGGGGTCTGGGCACAAGAGGCATTGCAAGCCACCAAGACCAATTTCCACCCATGGCCCCAAGGGCCTCACCCAGTAGCTTGGGCAGAGCTGAAGGTTGTGGGAGCCCATGTCATTCTGCTGGGCACAGCAGGCAGGCAAGGCCAGGTCCAGCCACACTCACCTGCATAAGCTCCCATTCTGACTGGCACTGCTTGGCCTCCAGCTCCTCAATCAGTTCATCAAGAAGGGCGATGTCCCTGGACACTTGGTTGTCATATGTCTCCCAGACTTGGCCGATGGTCTGGCCCAGGTCCTCCAGCCAGGCCACAAAGAGGTGTTCTTGCTGCTTCAGAAACTGATACAACTGCTCCAACTGGTACTGGACTTTCTGCTTTGGGGTCTCAGTTAGTTTCTGGGAACAGGATAGGGAGGTATAGGGGTCTATGTGGTAAGGTGGATATATGTGTCTCCGGAATCCTCAGAATCCCACCCCCTAGAGGTGGACAAGAGGCATGCTTCCTCAGTCTCTTGGAGGCCTGAATTCCAGAGCAGGAGGCAAAATGGGCCAGAATCTTCCTCAGCAGCTGAGGGTAGAAGGGGTTGACTCTTGAAAAATGCCCTAAAACTTTGTGTTATAGATTAGATTTTATTCCCTCCAACATCTTAACTCCCCAGGACCTGAGAATGTGATCTTATTTGGAAACAGGGTCTTTGCAGATGTCATTAGTTAAGATGAGCTCATACTGGGGTGGGGCAGGCCACTGGAGTGAGGACATTTGGGTACAGACACACAGAGAGAACACCATATGAAGAGACACAGGGGAAAGATGGACATCTACAAGCTGAGGAGAGAAGTCTGGAACATGTTCTTCCCTCATGGTCCTCAGAAAGAACCAACCCTGCAAAAACCTTGATATCAGACTTCTAGCCTCCAGAACTGTGAGAAAATAAATTTCTGTGGTTTAAGCTACTTAGCTGGTGGTACTGTGGTATGGCAGCCACAGGACACTAAGATACCTAGTATTACCTTCTTCCTTCCTTGAAAGCCACTGTGAGGATGACATATGCCTGGAGTCATAAATGGACAAGATTATGACCACCAAAGTCTCCAGAAGGGAAACTTCATTCCTCTCCCTGTCTGCACCCTCCCCGAAGTGTTGGCATGCAGAAGGTTCTCAGTATGGCTCTGAATGACAGTGGTCAGTCTATTTATTTGAATATAAGTGAACTTGATTTACACTACCATTGCACACTGGGCAACTATTAGCTCTTCTATCTCTCTGTTACTCATCATCACTAGGAAGCTTCTTAATCAAGGTAAAGTGGCTCTAGGATACCTCTTCCTTCCTCCAAGGAGTGAGAGGGCCCTTCAGATCCACTAAGACTGAACTTGAGAAATCTCATCAATTTTGGCTCAAAAGGACAGCATTAACTTTAGTTATTTTGAACCAGAAACATCTCCTCACCTTTTGTTGTTGTTGATGATGGTAACTGACTTTTTTTTTTTTTTAAGGACAGGTCAGTTGTCTGGTTCAGTGGCCTATATTCTAAAATTATGTGATGATTTTGCTCATAATTAAATTCAGGCTAAGCATTTGGGCAAGAATACCATATATTTAAAGCTGTGGTCTTTCTAGCACATCCCATGAGGAGGCAAAGAATGTCCAGTTTGTCCATCATCATTATTGCGATACTAGGATTGGTCACATAGTTAAGGAGGGGTCTACTAGATCTCTCCATTGTAAATATACTTTATTTCTTTTATAATTATTAAGTAATTCATGGAGTGGTACTTAGTGTGTAAATATCCTGTACTCTAACGATCTTCTAAAAGTTTTAGCATTTGTTGATGATCTATGTCAGTGTCAGTTGTTATACTGGTGTTTGTATAATGGAAATTTCTAATTCAATGATTCTTCTATACTTGCTTCAGTTAGCATTCTGCTGTAAAGAAGAGCTTTTCCTTCCTTTTTCCTATAATTAAATTTTTTTTGATTACTGAAAGGAGGAAGAGAAGTGGTTCTGAAAACAGCATCTTGTTTCTGCAGGGACCTGTGTTGCTATGAGTTTCTTAGGGAAGGCTGGACCCTCTTGTCTCCCTAGGTTTCCCTGAGCAGCCCAGGCTCCTGACATCCTCCTCAGGGGCATCCCTGACCTCTGATCCATCCACAAGTTCTAAGCCTCCTGGGATTATAAGAAAGAGTTTTCATTTTACTACAATTCGGAGTTTCCCAAAAGTCAGATGCCTAGGCCAATGTCACCTCCTCTCATTCTGTCCCTTTTTATTTTCGCTGTTTCCCATTGTGGTGAGATGGGTCCCAATAGGAATTTGGAACCCAGAGAGGGAGTCGGGATCCAACCAATAGAAATGTATCAGCCAAATCAAGGCTCTGGGGTGGGTGCCTTAACTTGCAGGGAAAATGGAAGTAACTCATGAATCCAAAGAGGCTAAACACCAGCTTGACAGAAGAAGGCCAGTAATCTGTACTTACTGAAATCTGTGGCGTCACAAAACCACAGTTTTAAAGAAAATGTCTACTTTAGCCATTTGAATTTTAAAAGTCAATATGGTTTTTGTAAAAAAATAAAATGGACAACAACAACGATGATAAAAACAATACAAAGGAGAATTTAACGTTGGATCCCAACTGTCAGTGACAGACACTGGCATTAGTTTCTCTAAACCATTTTGTGGTATGAGAAAGTACGACAGTATCCTTGGAGATGCAGTTAGGCCTCCTCTGCAGGGACAGGCTTATCCTTTACCTCTCCCGCCTCCAAGAGCAGGTGATTCTAAATATGTGATCAGCTCTGCTTCCCTATGAACCTCAGGGACACTTGTTCACTCTAGGTTCCCTCCTCCCTTCTGCAGTGATGAGCCCAGGCAAGGTTCGGCCATAGAATGCCCTTGGCTTTACCAGGTAGTTTGCTGTGTCCTTATCCCCCCGAAGTCTCTGCTCCTCTCCATATTTTTTCAACTCTTTCAGATGCTCCAGCTGCTTCTGAATTTGCTCCTGGAAAAAGAACACTTGTTGAAGCTTAAACTTGGCTCCTGCCACCTTTAGTTGATGCCAGCTCTAGAAGGGAAAATATGCTTTGGGGAGTAAAGCTGAGGATGTTGCAGCCAAGAGCACAGGGAGGGTACCCAGGAAAAAGAAGAATGAATCCATCATACCAAGGGAAGCAAAGCCAAGAGAGAGATTCCTAATGACCTATGAGTACCTGGATTCTGCTATCCCTGAAGCTAGATTCTGTTGGACCTCTGAGTTACATAAGTGGATAAATTCTCTCTTTTCTGACTTGATTTGTATTGTGCTTTTGCCATTTACAGCTCAAGAATGCTAGCTCATGCACCAATCTCACAGTAACAATGGAAAATGAAGCAAGCGTGTCTAAATGCCCAGCAGAGTAGGGCCCCCAGGCAGGAAGGCCTACCTTGTATTCCAGGGCAGCCTCTTCAATGGGGCGCACCTGATGGCCTCGGTGCTCTTGACTCAGGCTGCAGATGAGGCAGATGGGCTCTCCGTGGTCCTCACAGAAGAGCAGCTGGAACTGCTTCATGTGACGCTCACATTGTGGTAGGGGCTTGGGGCTCAAGCTAGCCTTCTGTGGGCCCTCTTGCTGCTTGCAGTGTCCAGAGTGCTTCCCTGTGAGTGAGGCTTGGTACCTGGGGCAGCTGGGTGAGTGAACACCGGGGACCTTGGGATCCCTAGAAGCAATGGAGCAGCTGCAGGAATCATGTGTACAGGTCCCACCAACCAGGTCTCCTTGGGCGCAGCAAAGGGTACACACAGCCTTGTCCTGTGACCTCCCTGGGGATATGGGAGTGGAAAAATCTCCTGAGTGACAAACCCAGGGTATTACAAAGGGGTAATACAAAAGCACAGCAGAGAGAGTCTATGCCTGGGACATATGAGTTCTCTTTTAGACTGCAGCCACCTCCTAGGTTGTCCTCCCCTATGTCCCCTCCAGTAAGGCCCTCCAACAATTCCCCTCCAACAAGCCCCTGTGACTGAGGGCCAAGGACTAGATCTCATGACAGTCCTGAGAGCTGGAATTCTTTTATCCTAAAGAAAGGTCTTTTGCTATAGATTCTATGCCTTCCTTCTGCACATACACTGATCTAGCAGGTGATATAAAGATAACAAAACATTCTGACCAATGTTTGCTTTGCCACTTAAAATCACTCAATCTGCTCATAACTCATGAAGGAATTCCCCAGGGACAGTGACTGGCTTATAGCTGGACTCCCAGCCTGTAGTAGAGTCCTTGGCACATGGTCAGCCTTTGGGAAGTATGTTGAATGAAGGCACAGACGGACCACTTCTCACACCCAGGTTCAGGAAGCATTAAATAAAAGTAAATAAAGGAAGTTCATAAGACTGAAGGGTATAACCCACCATGATGATGTACAGCTATGACTATCTGTGCCCCAAGACCATAGCACAACTTTATAAAACAGAAATGACAAAAGATATAAGAATAGAAATATATTGAATCCATTAGTGCCCTCTCATTTCCTCTTCTCACCAGGTCCCAGGGATTTATATCCTGTGAGACTGCAAGAGGCCCCCAATAACCATTCTTCACTCCTACCCTTGTAATAGAATTGATCGCTGTTCATATGACTGCTTCTCCCCACCCCCCTACCCCCCCAAAAAAAACTACATTTCTCAGCCTCCCTTTCAGTTAGGTATGGTTATTTGACTACATTCTGAAAAAAGGGATATAAAGGGAGCTCCCATGATCAATTTCTAGAAAATTTTGGAAACCTTCTCTAAGTAGTACTATTCTCCTTTGTCCATCTATCCTGCTGCATGGAATGAGGGTGCCACCATGAGTTTGAAAGTAAACTCTGTGGGGCAGAAAAACAGCAGATCATGAGTTTGAAAGTAAACTCTGTGGGGCAGAAAAACAGCAGAAGCCTGGGTTCCTGGCCCATGGAGCACCACATCTGTCTTGGATCACCTGTGCAACATTCATGTGAAAGAGGAACAAATTTCTACCTTATTTCAGTTACTGTTATTATAGTGTTTCTGTCATTCACAGCCCAACATAATCCTAATTTCTGCCTCCTTAGTAAAAGAGATCTAGGATTTTAGCCAACAGCTCTCCTCTTTGCCCAGAGAGAGGCAAATGGCAGAATTTGGATCCTATGACATGCTGCCATGGGGTTATTGGGAGAAGGGGATATTTTTACCCAGTCTTTCTCAGATGCTCAATCTGGAGTCCATGAAGCCCTGGGAATCTTAAAGAAGAACTTTAAAGTGTTTAAGAACTAAGTGAATTGATGTGACATTTTGTGAAGATGTGTACACATAGCTTTTGTTTTTCAGGATTCACAGCCTCCAAAAGATTCTCAAAGCATTGGGACTGTAGGGGACACTCAGGGATCTGGTGACATAAATACAGTAGGGATAAAAGGTCACAAATCTTAAAGATGTCAAGTATTCTGGATTCTAGGGTCTTTTCTTACCTGAAGACGGAGGGATTTCTGGATTTGAAGGCTCATGGAGCACACCGCCTACCACCTCTCCCAAGGTTTTAAGAGTCTCTGGACCCTCAATTCCATTTTTCTCTGAAGGTCCTATAGATTCTGGATGCTCACAAGTCTTCTCCTCTTTAGCCAATGATATATTGGAAAATGTATTCCTGAATGCTCTCCCACCCAGGATCACGCAATGTTCTGAATTCCTGGAGCCTCTCTCTGGAGCCACAGCAGCCCCTACATCCAGAGTGGCCACTTCACTGGGGGTGGCTGTTAAGTCTAGAGTCTCACTTCTCATTTTCTCTTGAGGAAAAAGAATGCTTGGATTGAGGGGTTCTCTCTCTCCCGAAGAAATGGTAAATTCAAGACTTTTGGGTCGCCTTTTTGAAGGTAAATGTGCTTCTGATAGTTTGCATTCTTTTCTTCCCAGGGACCCAAGTGACCCACTGGAGAGTCCTTGGAGCCTTCCTGCAGATGGCATTCCTTTTTTCCTGCGTAGCCTGACACTCACATTGTTCCCCTTCTCCGGTTGCAGCTTGCTGGGCAATGCACTTCTCCTAGAAGACAGGATTGCACCCCTGGCCCCTGGCTTTCCCTGCATATCCAGGCCCTCCGAGCTCTTCTGATCTCTCCGTTTGCCCTGAGGCTTCTTCTGGGTCCCCCTCCCAGCTTCAGGCTGGCTGGCTGGTAGGCTCATTGCCCCATCACCACTTTGCCGCTGCCTGTCACCTTCTGGGTCATCTGGTATCCTCAGGTTCTTGAAATTATTCTCCCTAGAGAAACAAGACACTTCTGCACAGCTGGTGCCACTTTCTTGATTTGGATACTCTGAAAAGACAAGGAGACACAAAGGCATGAAAATGTTAGGTGCTCAGGGCCAGGGGCTGGGGGAAGAGAGAGGAGAGAGAATAGTCTCAGAAATCAAAGCAGTTTGGAACATTCTAGACAACAGCAGTCAATTACCATTAAATAATAACATACTAATTATTTGGTATCTATTTTTCAAATAGTCCTTTCAAACTTTTTAGGCAGGAAAACTTGTTTCCAATATAAAAATTCTAAAACCACAATTCTTCATACATAAGACAAATAAAAACCCTAGTTTATTGGTATAAATTTGTGTGCGATTATAGATGTACAAGACTCATTCATAAAATCAATCAATAAAGAAGAATTAACGTGTGGAAGCTAGACTTTTGTTGGTGAGCACACTGTAGTGTATCCAGATATTGAGTTATAATGTAATAATGGTTATTAACCATTGTTACATCAAAGAAATATCAAACAAACAAACAAACAAATAAATGCTCTGAGGAAACAAAACTCAATTACAGTAGTAAGCAAGGGGAAGAACAGATGTATTCAGAATGGCAAAATAGTGGTAACAATCACTGAAGCTGGGTAATGAGTACAGAGAGGCTTCTTCATGGTACCCTCTACTTCTGAGTATGTTTGAAAATCCATAATTAAACATTTAAAAGAAAGAAAACCTTCCATACAGAAGGGGACAGAACAGAATGTGTATCTGTCTCAATCTTGGCATTAGATATAGTTTAAAAAGTATATCTCTCTTGAAGATTTGTAAACAAAAGTGCCCTCTTTTAGGCTTCAGTCCAAATTCACATTATTCATGTAGTCCGTGAGTGTAGTGCAAACTCAAGAGAATAATTTCATTTGAAGAAGGTTCTAGGCGGCATTATCCTCAAACAATTAGGGTGAGCAAATGGACCTTTTGCCGGAAAACTCAACTCAAAGCCAGGCCTCAAAGAATTCCCATACTACTGGATGATATATTAGAAACTTGTTAAGAGAGTAAATCTTAAAGGTTCTCAACTCACTGTATGAGAAGACGGATGTTAGCAGAACCTATGTGGTAATCATTTCACAATATATGTAAGTCAAATCATCATGCTGTATGTCTGAAATTTATACAATGATGTATGTTAATTATTTCTCAATAAAGCTGGGAAAAAAGAATTAAGATGTTTGGCAAACGAATTTGAAATCTGATTATGAAGGACAGTTACAATTTCAGAAACTAATTTATTTATTTTTTCCCCACTTTGGTTTCATGAAGAAAATCCTAACTCGTGCAGAAAAGTAAGTATAAATGGTAATTTTTTTAAAAAAACAGGTTGCCTAGAAATTTCAGGGTACTATTTAATTAAACAGAAATGACAGGAAAGGCTTAATTCCAAGGTCTATATAAAAATAACCTGTACTTAGCACCTTAATTTTTGGTTTGAAGATGTTCTTATTAAAATTACTTTAAAGTTGTTTAAAACACTTTGCTGTTGGTTTTGTAGGAAAACATGTTGCCAAAACTGGTGCAAGAACTGGTGAGAAACCATGAAGCTGCTAGTAACCAGATTTGAAAATATGAAAAAGTAATTTAAAAATTCTATTCATCAGATTATTCCAGACTCAATTTATGGTTGGTTTAGTTCTATCACTCTTTCAAAGAATAGAGGATTTTTATGTCATTTAAACTATTCTATCACATAGAAACACAGGAAAAGTATTTCTAATGTATTCTTAAAGTAGAAATAGAAGAAAAATTCAAACTCCAAATATTTTTTAAACTCCAAATATTTTTATTAGGTACCACCCCCCCCCCCCGAAAATCTCAAAAAACATCTAACAGCAGAAATCAAATAAGTCACATTCTTTGGTTATAATATAATAAAATCAGAAAGTATGGCAAAAGGGTAGCAGAAGAAGAACTAGGAGAAATAAGGAAAAAAGAAAAAAGATGAAGAAAGAGGGAGGGAGAGAAGGAGAGAAAGAAAGAAGGAAAAGAGAGAGGGAGGGAAGGGAGGAAGAGAAAAAAGAAAGGAATGAAGTCTTCTTGAGAATTTTAAAATGCCTTTGTAAAATGTGTTAAAGAACTCAAAACTGAAATCAGGTGGATAACAATGAGAAGATTACCTATCAACCCTATTAATAAGATCGGTTAGCAGGCCCTTTTTGCTTACCCAGATACTCGTCTGTGCATAAGTGTTAATCACAAATGAAGTGAGGAATTCTCTACACACAGACATCTAGCTCCTACCTTTAATGATCCTTCCAAGGCAGAATCTCAGCCATCCCTCTTTCTCTTTTTAAGAGCCATTGGGAGCCTTAGTTTTATTAATTCAGCTCCAAAGACCAGAGCAGGGAAAAGGACTTGCTTGGCTAAAGTCACTAGTGTCATGGCAGAGCTGGGACTCCTAACCCCTAAGTCATAGTGCACTAGTCCGAACAGGCACTTGTTCTTGTACTTTCCATACCATCCCATAAATAGCCAGCAGTTACAATGGTAGAGAAGGGGGCATGGGGCCTGCTTACCTGGGCCAATTGCCTTGTGGAGCTCTTCTGCCAGGAGGTGCTGGTTGATGGCCTTCAGGACCTGCAGGGTCAGATGCACAGCATACTTTTCCCCATAGTGGTCGAGCAGCAGAGTGGCCAGCTTCACTGGCTTAGCTGTCTGGAGCTGACCCCTGGGTATCCGGGGTGGTACCTTCTCCAGGCTGATGTTCTGCAGCTTGAACTTGAACTTCTCAAAGTCATAGGGCACCAGCTCTTCCAGGGAGAACAACAGATGGTCACTAGGGGTCTTGGCCATAGCGTTGACCGAGAGAGGCTGGTGCCAGCTGTCTGGCTTCTGGGAGAAGAAAAAGCCCTCTGTCCTGGAACCCAGAGTTTGAGTGAGACGAGGCAGCTTGTGAAATAACGGAAAAGGCACAGGAAATGCTCTGTGTTTTGGTGAGAAATGAGGCTATGGGAGTGTCATTGCTGGCTTGTGTTCTCTTTCTTGCCGATTCAGAGGCTTTTCCAGCTGGGAGATTCCTTGCCACACATGTGGTCCTCTAGTGCCCCAGCTCTCACCTCCAAGGGCTGGACTACAGAGCTGGTGGTAAGTCTGGGAGGGAGGTTCTGGGATTGGATTCCCATCTCTTGATCCTTGGGCAGGCTCTCAGATGCTTCCTTCTCTCCTCCTCCTAGGATTTGGGTGTGGAGGGTGGCAGCAGAGCCCCTGGTCCCACCTTGGAGAGGACTATGTTCAGCTCCTGTGGCCAATTGTTTTCTGCCAGACCCTTGGGGGTTTTTATTGACACTCCAGAGCCAATGGCAGGGGGAATAGGGGACAGCAAATATACCCCTGCAAGCTTTGTGGTTCCCTGCCCAAGAAGGCAGGCAAGGCCAGAAGGGCACTGCCAGGAGGCAAGCCCTGATATCGCCCCTGCTGATGCAGTTTCAGTTGTCTGGTACTTCCAGCAACACAAGGGCCCATAACGCCATGCCTGGAACCACCATCCTGATCTGTTTGTTCCCAGTGCTGACTTTACCCTGGCTTCCGAGTAGCATTCCCAGGAGAGGATGCCCATCTATGCACACTTACTGCACAAATATTCTGGATACCATGCCAGGATGCTGGAGAAACAAGGTGAAAAAGACATGATGTCCTTTGGAGCTTACTGTCCAGTGTAGGGCCCCAGAGGAGGCTTCAAATTTGTATGTGGGGGTGAGCTGACTTCTTCCTCCGTTAACTGCTTCTGTCATTCTGCATACTCTAATTTTTATCCCCAACTTTTTGTTTTGAAAAGTTTCAAACTGACTGAAAAATTGAGAACATAGTACAATGAACATATAACCCTTTACCTAGATTAGCCAACTGTTTATATTTTATAGATTTGGTGATCTTCTCCCCTTTCCACCTCTCCTC